GTCGAGGCGCGCAGCTCAATTTCAAAGATAAGTGAGGATTTGCATTTATCTGGATATTCTTAAGCAATTAATGCCTGTTATTTACTTGAGTGCCTTTTAAAAGTCGCCTTCCAATACAAGGTATAATTTTTCCCCAGTTTTATTTGACAATCTGGCCAAATAGTCGTATTTTGTAAAAAAAACCTTTGTAGTGACTCCTTTCCCTACTAACTCTTTCTATTTTTGTAGTTAAATAACAGTAGCACTTGTTATTTAGTGCGATTTTCCGTACGTTGGCAACGTCTTGACCCTTCTTCTGTAACGAAAAACTTCTCCTGTCTGTAATGTCCCGCAGAGCACGAGCTAAAAGGCGAAAGCTTGCGGCCTCCCCACCGTCTCTGGGTGCTAAAGTCGTGACTGAAGACATAGCAGGTGCCAGCGTATGTTCTTCGCCGTCTGCAGATCTGATTAACTCACAAATCCCTTTAGTATATGTAGAACCTCTTGACCCTTCAGTCGTCCAAAAATACGCCCCTGCTAGTCGTAGCAGGCCATCAGCCGGCGAAATAGTCGACCACTTGATTTATGACGACATAAATAGTACTTCTGAAAAAGTAATTGAGCAAGCTTTTAAACTTATTGGGGTAATAAGTTCGGAAACTGAGAAAGGAATTAAATGCAAGCATATTTTTTACTGCGAAACATTCTGAGCCACGTATCTGCTATGGAGGGAGCGCATTTGTTCCTACAAAGTTGTGGCTTGAGTTTCAGTGTCGCACATGCTAAGCGACTTCACTCGCTTAACCGTAATGCGCCGATACTAGTTACCCTTTTCTCCATGATAGAAGTCGATTTTATCTTGTCGAGTAGGGAGATAACTAGAGACTTCTGCCGTAAATGGCGCTGCTCCGTTTCGCCAGACCTCACACCCCTGCAGCGAAGACTGAATAAATTAAAATTGGCAAAAACCAACACCAAGATAATGACACCTACTGTCAGTTTGAATAAGCCCTCTACAACACCATCTGCGGCATATGCACATCACGGCATAGTCAATTCCGTAGGGAATTTCGACTACTTTTAATGCTGAACTCTTTAAACACACTACCACGCCTGGTATAAACACGCCTCTATCGACTCCCTCAGCAACCCCTAGTAAGCCTAAGCATGTGCCTAAGTCAAAGGCAAATCCAATTGCTGTCTCAGCCACTCGGACACCCAATAAATCCAGCACCAGTATAAAATGTTTTCCTCCACAATCGGCGAACAGTGCCTCAAATACCCCGACTCAAAACGTAGCGGGTTCGCAACTGCCCCCCAGCCCTCATATCAAGGCAGTTAGGCCGAATATGCCGATTTTCCCACCGTTTAATAGACCTCTTGTTCCAATGGAAACAATGCGTCCCCCACCCCCTAACTTGTTTCCTCCACGGCCGTTTTACCAATGTATTCCTCATGCTAATGTCCATACTGGATCAGTTAACTCATCCGATCCTCAGTTTCGTCCCGGCTGGAATACGTTGCAGAATCTGCCCCGCGGATTTCCAACTGAAAATAAGTTAGCTAACAATAGTTACCAGTTTACCTGCCCGTCATTCCCTCCCCCAAGTCCTCCCCTTTTTTATCCACGTCAGAATTTTTTGATGCCACAAAATTTTTTGCATGACCTGATAGTTGCATCCGGACCATTTGCTCCGTGGGCAGCCCAGAACTGGACGATGTAGCCCACCTCCCTCAAAAACTAACAGCCTTTCCCTTCAAACTTTTTGTTTTAAATGCTAGATCCTTGCTTAATAAGATGCCTTTGCTTCAGACTCAGGTTTTCGTCCATTGTCCTGATATTAATTTAGTAACTGAGACGTGGGCATCAGCCTCAGTAGCTGACTCCGAACTCTCTCTTCTAGGCTACAATTGCATTCGAAATGATCGCCAAGATAGCCGTGGTGGGGGCAGCTGCGTCTACGTTAAGCAAACACTTACATGTGTGCCGTTGGACCTCCCGCACTTTTCTGCAGTAGAAGGCAGCTGCTGGCTCCAGGTTGCACTAAAAAATAAGTTCTCCTTACTCGTTGGCTGCGTCTATCGCCCTCCCAACGCCAATGACAATTTTGATCGCTTACTCTCACAGGCATTTCATGCTGCGGCCGACTTAAGTTTTAAGTATCAACTGGTTGCGGGTGACTTTAATCTCCCTGAAGTCCGCTGGTCTCCGCCTTCAGGCCCCAGAAGGTTCGATGACTTTCTTGAGGCTGTGGATGTCGGGATGTGGAATCAGGTTGTTGATTTTCCCACCCGAGCCTCAAGTATACTTGACTTAATTTTCTGTAGAGGCTGCTTGCCATCGTCAGTGTCATCCCTAGGCCCACTCGGGGGCTCAGACCATGACATAGTTGTTTCAACGTTGGAATTCGAGGCCGACGAAATGTCGTCCCAAAAGTATAACTTTTTCCGCGATTTCCGATCAACTCGCTCAACCGAATTATTAACACACCTTAATTCCTACGACTGGACTGATTTCTTCCTTAGTTCGGATGTAAATGTTTGCACTGCAAAACTGTACGAAAATTTGGGTCCGCTTATTTCTCGTTTTGTCCCCCGTAAGAAAATTATTAATGTTGGGGATGAGATTTTCCTACCTTTACCCTTTCGTCGCAGATTGCGCAGGCTTTATCGTCGTTTCCATCTGCAGAACGATGTTTCTGTTCTGCCCTTGATTTGTGATATTTTTGATCGAGCTAAGAGATTGTCTGAAGAAAAGCAGCTAGCCGAAGAGGTCCACTTTACTGAAAACCATTCGTTAAGCGTCTCGAAACTTTTCTCTAGAAAAATACGAACTCAGCGAAAGACGCAGTATCCCATCCTTCGAGACGATCTCGGAAATCCCATAGTTGATGCCCAGTTAACCTCGGAGAGCTTCAATGATTTCCTGTCCAAAACGTTTATTGAAGACTCGACCACTCCGCTTCCGACCATCCAGTCATTGACCGGGGCAGTTCTAGAAACTATAACTTTCACTCTGTGGGATGTGACTGTTGCGATTCGGCGTTTTCGTCAATCTTATAGTCCAGGCCCTGATGGCGTCCCTGTAAGCATCTTAAAAGCCGATGCAAACACGATTTTCCCATCCCTCTTATGCAAGATATTTAATCTCGCTGTCGAAAGTGAAACTTATCCTACCTTGTGGAAGGAATCACACATTTTGCCCATTCCTAAGCACGGCAAATCTACATCATTTGATGACTTTCGGCCAATAAACACCCTCCCCGCAGTTTCGAAGATCTTAGAGACATTGATCAAGGATAAGATGATGTGTCACTTAACAGCGAAGAACTTACTGAGTGTTGCTCAGCATGGATTACTCAAAGCTCGATCTTGTGACACCTGTCAACTCTCTTTCTTTGACTATGTTCTCCAATCTAGGGACCATTGTTTTGCTCTTTACACAGTATATTTCGATTTCACTAAGGCTTTTGACCGTGTTGACCATGCTCTTCTCCTCTTGAAATTGTCCTCTTTCGGAATAGGTGGCAAACTTTTGAATTTAATATCCTCTTATTTGGGCACTCGCACACAACGAGTTAAGATTTCCAATACCATCTCCAACCCCACACGTGTGAGGAGTGGAGTCATTCAGGGTAGTGTACTCGGCCCGCTTTTATTTTGCCTTTTCGTTAATGATGTACCCGATTTATTTCAGAATGGTAAGCCTTTCATGTATGCCGATGATCTTAAAGTTGCATATCGATATAAGTCGGCAGATCATGACATCGTGCTTGAGCTCCTAAAGAGCGATCTACAGGCTTTCGCCCAGGGGTGCCGCACATGGCGCCTTTCTCTTTCTTGGCATAAGTGCTCAGTCATGGTGGTTGGCGACGACCGCCAACCTCAACTAAGTATTGAAGGTCACGCAATAAATGTGCCAGGGGTTATAAAGGATTTGGGCGTATCATACTCCAAGAGTCTTAATCTCTCGGAGCACTGTGCCTTGATAGTCTCCAATGCACGTAGAACGACCGGGTTTATCCTCCGAAATTTTAAAACTAGGGACATTAGAATGCGCCTTTTCAACATGTACGTTAGACCTGGTCTGGAATACTGTTCGTTTTCATTTAGCCTCATGTGTGCTACTGAGCGGAAGAAAATAGAATCCGTTCAACACGTTTTTACTAAGAGAATTTTAACCCCGGAACACCGACATTTGTCTTACCAAGAACGTTGCCGGCTTACAGGCCTCGATCCTTTATGGTTCCGTAGATTACAAAAGGGACTATTTTTGCTATTTAAACTCTTATATAATCACACATTTAACCCGCTCACCTCTTTAAGACATCATATCCACCCACGACGTAACAGTCACCGTGAGGTCTTCTTATTTCTGCCTCTGGCACGTACTGTTAAATATAGTCGGTTCTATTCTGTAAATGCAATTGCTATTTGGAATAAACTACCCATGAGTGTGAAAACTCTGCAAAATTTTCCTTTATTTAAGAGAACTATTACTCGATTTTTGCATTCAGAAAAGCTCCCATAAATTTTGGGTGCTGAATCAACTGATCGACTGTACCGTAGCGATGGCGTTTGTGGTCTCTGAACACTATGGCCGGTCTCACCAGCTGTTCCTCAACGCCTCTACTTTGACTATCCCCAACTTCATGAAAGGAATTTGACTTCCGATAATCTCCGATACCGTGCAACCTCCCCCCTTCTTGACGGTCGATATTCTACCACCGCCGACAGTTTTTTTCTCCTGAGCCCTCCAAACCACAAAAACCACCATCAACTATATTTTTATGCCTTAAGCTCAGGAGTTTTTTTTCACTGCTGGTCGGATTTGTGTTTAATCGCTTCCCTTGACAATGCCTGTAAACTGGCATTAAATTAAAAATTATTTATTTATTTACCCTATTTGCAACGTAACAAATGTGTGGTGTACAGATAGATGTTCTGGGCTGAACTAGTTCGAACACTCCCATAATGGTGGGACAAAATGTGAAGGAGTTACAGGGGGTGAGCTCGACTTCTCATCGCTCTTGGTCATTTCGGACCATAAATATGTCCAGATTCTTCTTAAAATTTTGTATAGATGGTGACATCACAACAGCTGCGGGAAGCTCATTCCACGGTTTGACCACCCGAACCGAGAAGGAGAACTTCCGCACATCCAGCCGTGCCTGCTGAGTGCGCAGTTTTAACGGGTGACCTCGGAGGTTGGTCGTGGTAGCAAATTCAAAAAAGTCCTCGAAGGCCAGACTGCAGTCCAACCCCTTTACAATGCGGAAGGCTTGCAAGAGATCTCCGCGAAGTTGCCTGTAACTCAAAGGAAAGAGGTTCAGATTTACTAGGCGGGTCGCATAAGGAAAGGAGCTTTGACCCCTGACCATCCTCGTGGCTCTCCTCTGGACTCTTTTGAGGCAGTTTTGATCCACAACAGCCCACGGCCTCCAAGCTTGTATGCCGTACTCTAAATTCGGCCGGACGAATGTTCCGAATGTCTTAGAGAAAGCTTCTTCGTCAAAGTCCATAAACGCACGCTTGATGGCGTACAGTACGGACATTGCGGTTTTTGCCACCCTCGAACAGTGGGCGGATGGTTTTAGGGAACTCGTCGTAAGCACACCGAGGTCCTTTTGGGCTTCGACCTCTTGTAGGGCTGCACCGCCCAGAAAGTAGCCTCTTGTGCTGGCGGATCTGGCTGTGTTGCCTAGGCGAAGTATGCTGCATTTGGCAACGTTGAACCGCAGGAGCCAACGGTTTGACCACTCCTCCAACCGATTCAGGTTCATCTGCAGTCTGTCTTCATCGGCAGGACCACGAATTACACTCCATATCTTCATGTCATCCGCAAACATTGCTACTTCACAGTCTAAATCTCTTGCGGCATCGTCCACGTAGATATGGAACAAAATGGGTCCCAGTACTGAACCCTGGGGGACACCGCTATCGACCATAGCCGGATCTGATTTTCCCCGACCGACGCACACAACCTACTGTCGACCCACAAGGAAGTTTTCGATCCATTTATGGAAGTTGCCACCGATCCCTATTTTTTTCAGCTTATGCAAGAGCCTTTGGTGTGGCACAGTGTCGAAAGCCTTCTGGAAGTCGATGAAGGCTATGTGGACCGCGTGCCTGTCGTCGAGAGCTCGAGTCCAGCTCTGGAGAGATTGCAGCAGGTTTGTCGTGCAGGATCTTCCTTTTCGGAACCCATGTTGGCATTTGGATAGCAGGCCGTGAACTTCCAGGAATTGCATTAGTTCACACGTTATGATCCTTTCCATAACTTTGCAGAGAATGCATGTCAAGCTTATGGGCCGGTAATTTGTCGTCGCTGCCCTGTTACCTCCTTTGTGTTGCGGAGTAATATGCGCCAGCTTCCAATCGATAGGAAGTGTTCCAGTGTCAAATGACGTTTGAAAGAGCATCGACAAAGGCACAGAGAGCTCACGGGCAAGTTCCTTCAGAAGCTTGGATGGAATCTCGTCTGGTCCTGGCGACTTCGATTCGTTCAATGCCTCTAATTCCCTTCAGACAATGCCTTCTGAGAAGAATATACCACTGACGCTTGGAGTCGGCAGTTCTTCTGTGGAGGGAGGAAGGAACCTTGCCTCGTTTGTGTAGACTGATTGGAAAAACCGTGAAAAATACGCAGCTTTATCCCTACTATCTGCGATCTCAACGCCATCAGTAGTCTTTATCAAGGGGATTTGATGCCTGTTCCTTGTAGTTTGTCGGAGGTAGCTGTAGAGCAATTTTGGGATCTGCGTTGCTTTTTGTAGCAAGTTCTTCTTGAATTCCCGCCGCGTCTGCATTATCAGCTTCCTCAGTTTGTTCCTCTGTGTCTTGTAGGTGTTGAAGCATTCAGCTTGTCTAGTGACTCAGTATTTTCTCCACAATTTGTGCTTCCTGTTTATTTCTTTCTTGAGGTTGCTATTTAGCCACCCAGGGCGTTTGTTCAGCCTTACACTAGTCAGTGGGCAGTGGTTGTTTATGAGCTGCAGAAGGACATTCTTGAACTGCTCCCAGTCATCGTTGGCACTTCCCGTAAACTAAGAGCCCCAGTCAAGACCGGATAAGTCTGCCCTCATCTGATTGAAGTCGCCCCGCCATACATTACGCCTTTTGTGGTCTGGAGTGTGTGAAATGGAGAATAACGAATAA